GCAAGACGCAGCCAGCTCCTGCCCAACTGCGATTTTTCGCCGTGGCGTGAAGGTGGCAAGCATAAGGCCTTAGTGGCAAGCATCCGCATACCCGCCTTCTATGCTAAGGTCGCCAAACCCCCGCCGACGGGCCTCTGCAGAAGTTCGCTTCGGGAGGCCCTCCGGCAGGATAGTGCTCAGGCGCGCGAGCTGGACCTTCATCTCCAAACGCGTCTTGCGCAGGCCACCGTCAGCACAGCTGCTGAGCTGACGCGGGTAGTGCATGACAGCTGTCAGAAGGTGTTCCCAAAGCGAGCCCAAACCCCCGTCCCTAGAGCTTGGCAGCACCCTAATGCCCAACTTGAGGTAAGGCAGCTCTGGTCTAGGTATAAGGATTTACGTACCTTTCATCAGTACCATAGCACCCTTAGACTTAGGAACCGGGACACGGGTCTGATAGCCTATGCCTTTGAGGCTTTCCGCAGGCATGCAGCCTTTCAGCGATGCCAGAAGGCTCTTAGGCAACGTGGACGTGAGCGGCGCAGGGCTCTTGTCCAGGACATTTTGCAAGAGGCCGAACAGGCTGCTAGCACGGGAGACATGCACTCGTTATACCGCCACGTCCGTCGCCTAGCGCCTAAGGCCCCAAGGGAACGCATCCAGATCAGGGGACCCGATAACACTATCCTCGACCCTACCCAAGAATTCCAACACATTTACGAGTACTTTACACACCTTTACCAACAAGGCCCCGACACTTGCAGTACCACCTATGTTCTCCAACATGACTATAACGTCACCGACACAGAGATCCTGACCAGCCTCAAGCAACAGAAGGCCGGAAAGGCTGTTCCCCAGGGAAAGGTGCCCCCTGACGTCTGGAAGCGTTGCGCGCACCTACTGCTGCCGCACGTCAGAAGGCTGTTCCAACAGCACCTGTCTGCTGGAGCTATTGACCTGCCCACTGACTGGAGAGATGGCTGGCTCCACCTCCTCCCAAAACCTCATAAGCCTACCAAGACCCCGGCTAACTTGCGGCCAATTGCCCTACAATGCCCCCTTGGCAAATGCCTTGCCCGTATCATTAAGACCCGCATCCTTACACACATCCTCCCCCGCCTTGATCAAGTACCCCAGTACGCGTACCTGCCTGGACGCAGCACTACAAATGCCATCAGCCGAATCGCGCGGCATTGCCGGGAAGCTCGACAGCAGCTTTCTGGCCTCCGTAGGGAAGTGCATGATCGTAGGGCGGGCAAGGCCTGCATCCAGGCTAGAGGTGCTGCACTCCTAAGCATCGACATGAGCAAAGCTTTTGACCAGGTCAGTCACTCATACCTAGCTGCAGCCATGCGACACCTCGAAATCGATGAGGATACCATACAACTCACCCTTGCCCTTCACCAGGCGTCCTATCACATTAAACACCACCAGCATGAGGGTTGCATAGCTCTGCGGAATGGAATTCGGCAAGGGTGCGTTTTGTCACCGCTGTTGTGGGTTTGTGTCACGACCTACATGCTTCATTGCCTCTCCCAGCGCACAAGCCTGGAATGGGTTCGTGACGAAGTGACGGCTTTTGCGGACGATTTCATCTGCTCCTTCACCCTGCACAAAGTTGAAGACGCTCAACTCATGTCTCAGCGCATCCAGCAACTCTTCCTTGTCCTACGGGAGGCCGGAATGCAGGCGAATGCAGAGAAATCGCACTTTCTTGTCAAAGCCGTAGGCGGTCCGTTGCACAGATGGCTGGCCAAGCGCAGTTTTCGTCAGCGTGGCGCCCTTTTCTATGATATGGGAACACCCTTTGAGCCCCTCAAGCTTGCTTACTCCTCCTCTATTGACTATTTAGGGGTGGTTGTCAGCTACGGTGCCTTTGAGCAACATAGCATGGACAAGCGGCTGCGAGCGGCACGTGCCAATCAAGCCCTCCTTGCGAAATTCCTGTACGGTCGAAAAGGCCTCACGCAAACCCACAAGCTGAGCATGTACCGCACCTGCATCCGCAGCGCTGCCACGTACGGCTTGACAGCAGTAGGAGTGACACCCAAGAGCCTCCGCGCTCTGCACGCCTTTGAGATCAAAACCCTCAGAGCTATAGCCCGATCCCCCCGACACCTTACCCATGAAACCAACAAAGACCTCTACAATCGCCTAGGAATCAGACCTGTAGAGGACGCCCTGCTAGCCCTGATCCAAAACAGGCTGAAAGAGCTGGAGAGCGGGACTCACACGTTTCCTGGAAAACTGCAAGAGCAAACCTGGCAAGCGCAGGTAAGGAGTGACTTCCAGGAGGCCAAAGCTCTCCTTCAGTACACAACCCTGGTGCCGTGCGAGGGCAGTGGCTACCCGTGCCCTGAGTGTGGAGTTTATTACGGTGACCAGCGCACCATGCGCATACACTGTGCTAAATCGCATAAGCGTAGCTTGGTTCCCACCGCCCTCGACAGGCCCGCCGGTAGGCGACAGGAAGACTTCATGCCACACAGCAAAAACGGCATGCCAGTATGTAGGTACTGTAACCAAGCATTCCGTAAGTGGCGAGGATTTCAGAATCACATACTACGACAGTGCCCCGCCTTGACAGCTGAAGTCTCCCAAGCCTCGAACTCACTGGCGACCCCCTCGGCTGGTGTCCCCGTTCCGCAGTGCGCTGCAGGGGAGGCTACTGCCGAGGCAGCACCGGCACCGCTGCCCCTTTTTGACCAGCCTGACACGAGATCAGCTCTGGAAACAGATTGGGTCTCTTTTGCTGAAAGCCATGGCCGCGACCTGAGCGAATACTGTGTTTTCTGCGCGCAGTGGTGTAGTAAAGATAAGGGCGGACTCAAGAACCATATCCGTCGCATGCACGCCAGCCATTGGTCGCATCGTGATGCCGTAATCCGTAGGCTCAAGGCCCACTACCGGCTCCGCTACAAAGGCCCGTGCCGCNNTTTGCTCCTTTCAGCCAGGGAGCTCAGCGCAACATCAGCCACTCTGCTCAGGGTACTTTCAGGCCTGTCTCATGCACCAAATATGGCTCCCTGAGGCCTCCCTTCAAGATGCCGCTCAGCGCCGAGGAAGAGGTCAACCAGTGCTTCGGACACCACCTCCGTGCGATGGCGACCCAGGAGGAGGCAGCGGCAACGAAGCGCTCGCCCCCTCGGGAAGAGGGGCAGGCCAGCAAGTGGCACAAGCCGTCCAACAAAGGCTCCAGGGGAAAGGGCCAAAACTGGAGCCAGAGTTGGGGACAGGAGCGATGGCAGCGGGAATGGCACGGAGAGGAGCAGACCTTGAGCCAGAAGATCAGCGGGGACGAGCTGCGGGAGGTGGTGGGCCTACTGGCGAGGCTGGCCCTCAAGCACGAGGACACGGAGGCGGCCCTACGCTCCGACACTTCTTTCATGCTCTACTTCAACACCCGCGGCATGACGATCACCCGCGCGCTCTACAACATTGCCCAGGACTGGCGCAAACTCAAGGACGAGGGCAAGCTCAACCAGTCCCTCCGCGTCACCTTGATCATCGGGATGCTCACGGCAATGAAGGAGAAGATGCAAACGGCCCTCCACGAGGAGGTCAGGCCCTCCTTGGAGAAGCACAGCTGGCTGACCAAGGCCAACCCGCCTGCCTGGGCGTACATGACATACAACCAGGAAAAGGAGGAACAGGAGGTGGATGCGATCAAACCTCCCCTACCACACGCTCAAGCAGAGGCCACCATCCAGCGCATCTTCGAACTGATTTCGATGGAGGGCCTCCTGATGAAATTTCATGCGACGCGACCCATGGCTCCCACCTACCGCTCGGAAGTGCTCCCCTTCGTCCTCATGGTGTCAAACCGCGGCGCCTTGGCGGACGAGTTGCACAACCTGCTCAGCATTCTGTGCAACAACGCCTGCCTTTCCCTCATCGGGGTCAG